ATAATTTCATTGCATTGTGATCTGAGAAATTGCTTGATATGATTTCAATTTTCTTGAATTTGTAGAGACTTGTTTTGTATCCTAACATGTGGTCTATCTTTGAGAATGACCCAAGTGCACTTGAGAAGAATGTATATTCTGCAGCTTTGGGGTGAAATGTTCTATAAATGTCAATTAAATCCATCTGATCTAGTGTATTGTTAGAGTCTCTATTTCCTGGTTATTTTTATCTGGAAGATGTATGCAGTGAAGTCAGCAGGGTGTTAAAGTCCCATACTATGACTGTATTACTATCGATTTTCCCCTTAAAGTCCTCTAGAAGCTTTCTTATACATTTAGATGCTCCTATACATTTGGGTGCATATATGTTTACCAGAGTTATTACCCTTATTGGATTGATCCCTTTAGTATCATGTAGTGACCTTTATTGTCTTTTGTAATGGCCTTCATTTTGAAATCTATTTTGTCAGATATAAATATTGTTATCCCAGCTTTTTTTGTAATATATTTTTTATTGATTTTTTTACAGAGAGGAAGGGAGAAGGATAGAGAGTTAGAAACATCGATGAGATAGAAACATTAATCAGCTACCTTCTGCATACCTCCCACTGGGGATGTGCCTGCAACCAAAGTACATGCCCTTGACTGGAATTGAATCCGGGACCTTTCAGTCCACAGGCTGATGCTCTATCCACTGAACCAAACCGTTTAGGGCTATCCCAGCTTATTTTTGTTTCCATTTGCATGGCAAAAAATTTTTTTCATCCCTTCACTCTCATCCTATGTGAGTCTTTTATTCTGAGGTGGGTCTCTTATAAACAACAAATAGTTAGCTCATGTTTTCTTATCCATTTAGCTACCCTGTCTTTTGATTGGAACCATTTAATCCATTTACATTTAAGGTTATTATTGATAAGTACTTATTTATTGCCATTTTAATTCTGTATGCCTAGATTTCTCTATATATATATATTTATTCTTCTCATTACAGCAGTCCCTTTAGCTTTTCTTGCAGTGCTGGTTTGGTGGTGATAAACTCCTTTAGCCTGTTTTATCTGGGAAGCTCTTTATTTTACCATCTATTTTGAATTATGGATATAGTAATCTTGTTTTCAGATCCTTGCTTTTTATTACCTTGAATACTTCATGCAATTCCCTTCTGGCCTGTAGAGTTTCTGATGAGAAATTAGCTGAGAGCCTTATGGGAGCTCCTTTTTATGTAACAAATTGCTTTTCTCTGGCTGCCTTTAAGATTCTCTCTTTGTCTTTAATTTTTGGTATTTAAATTATGATGTGTCTGGGCATGATCCTGTTTGGGTTCATCTTGCTTGGGATTCTCTGTGCATCTTGAATTTGTATGACTTTTTTCTTCCAGATTAGGGAAGGTTTTTGCCACTGTTTCTTCAAATACATTCTCTGTCCCTTGCTCACTTTCTTCCCCTTCTGGCACTTCTATTATGCAAATATTGTTTACCTTTCATGTTATTCTACGTCTTCCTTAAGCTGTCTTTGTGTTGTTTCTTTTTGTTTTCTGATAGAGTGATTTTTTTTTTGTACCTTGTCTTCTAATTCACTTGGATTCCACTAATCTGTGGTATATTTCTTCCACTGTGCTCTTTATTAGTGCCATGTCATTCTTCGTAGTTACTATATCTTTTCTCATGCTATTGAGTATCTTTGCCATTATCCTAAACTCTATGTCTGATAAATTTTCTTACTTCCGTTTTATTTATCTCTCCTTCTGGATAATTATCTTGTTCTTTCCATTGGGGCTTGTATCTTTGTCTCCCAATTTTGGCTGCCTGATTGGGTTTGTGTCTGTGCTTGACCAAACCCAATTCTTGACCAAACCCAATGGGAAACTTCTGTTATGGGTTAAATTATGTTCCCCCTTAAATATATTTTGAGATCTTAATCCCTAATAATTCAAAATGTGACCTTCATATGGAAATTGGTTCTTTAAAATAAAATTAGGTCATTCAGCTAACCTAAACCAGTATAACTTTTATCCTTACAAAAAGGGGAAATTGGACCCAAAGACATGTACACAGAGAGAAAGCCATGTGAAGATGAAGGGAGAGATCAAGGTGATGCATCTACAAGCAAAGGAATATCAAAGATTGACAGCAAACCACCAGATGCCAGGGAAGAGGCATAGAACAGATTCTCTCTCCCAGCTCTCAAAACAAACCAACCCTGCTGATACCTTCATCTGAGACTTCCAGCCTCCAGAACTGTGACAGAATATACTTCTGTTATTTAAGCCACCCAGTTTGTGGTACTTCGCTACAGCAGCCCTAGAAAATGAATATACGTCCACGTAGACTTTTGGGGTCCTCACTATATGACTCCTTTCTCCCTGCAGCCAACCTCATGAATTCCATTTGCTTTCATAGCTCCAAACTCTGGTATTTGTTTTCTCAGCTCAGTGGGATTGCTGGACTGTTCCTGGGCTCCACCTACCTATGCTGTAATAAGGAAGCTGTCTTCTGTGAGTGGATGCTGGGCTTGCTTTATGTGCTTCCTTCTCTCAGAGATTGCAGTGCACCACCTGTGGTCCCATACCCAGAAACTGCTGTGTCATACACTTTGTTCATGTTTACAGTTGTTTATGGTGAAAGGCAATCCCAGTCTCTGTTACTCCACAATGGCCATACATGATATTCCTGTTCTAAAAATCTTTCTTTGCAGTAATTCTCTCAATAACTCTGCGAGGGCAGGTTATTATCCACATGAGTCCCAGGTAAAAAATGGAGGTCTTAAATAAATAACTTTTCCAAAGATATATCTATAAATGGTGGAGCTATATTTCGAATGTAGGCCTTTGGCTGGAGAGTCTATGCTCCTAAACTTTAACATATTACCTTACATAATAGGTGCTCAATGAATGCATTTTGAATAATTAAATAGACACTGTCTCTTACACCTTTGTTGGCCATTTACCTTCTGTTCCACTCACTCAGGAAAATCCCAACATCACATCAATCCACTATCTTCACCTATCCTGCACTCAGACTTTTAAGCATGCTGGAGAAAACCACACTTCCAGGGAGAAGTTATCTAGGCCTTAGAAAATACCTAATAATTCTGTATTTCCCTAGTCTTTGCGTTCCATTTCCTATTGATTCTCATCTCAAATACCGTATTTTTCGGACCATAAGACGCTCCGGACCATAAGACGCATCAGTTTTTAGAGAAGGGAAATGAAGAAAAGAAGATTCTGAAACAAATAGTGTCCTAAAATATTTTATGTGCATTAAAACCCAACATCACAGTCATAAACACATGAATCAACCCTGTAAAGTAAACAGCAGCATTTAGAACCATTTTAGAGCCAGGCAAGCACACAGAGACCACACAGAGCCGGGCAAGTAAAAAAACTTTTTTTTTAAAGTATATGTGTAGGCTATATTTGGACCATAAGACGCAGGGACTTTTTCCCCCCACTTCTGGGGGGAAAAAAGTGCGTCTTATGGTCCAAAAAATACGGTACCTTTTTTTCCCTATTCATTATTTTAAGGAAAAACACAATTTCCAGCTGTGACGTCTCAGCTTCCTACTCATTCCTATAAATTTGACGTGTACTGGCATCCAGCTTTCTCACAAACAGTGTTTCTCTCTCTATCGAAGGCTCGCCCACTTTTAGCTGCTGCCCAATGTCTTTCTTCCCTTTCATGGCCGATCTTTGGGAAGTTTTTACATCCGTCTGCACTCCCTCGCACCCCCTCACCTGCAGCTCACTCTATCACCCAACCTGGCTTCTGTACGCATTATCTCACTCACTCAATAAATGGCTTCTAATTTCACAAATTTCATCCTCATGCTTTCTTTAAATGCATTTGTTATTCTTTATTAACTTCTTGATTTGGACGCTTAATACATTTTTTCTATTTATTAATATAAACATTTAAGCCAAAGCCGGTTTGGCTCAGTGGTAGAGCATCGGTCTGCAGACTGAAAAGTCCCAGGTTCGATTCCGGTCAAGGGCATGTACATTGGTTGCGGGCACATCCCCAGTAGGGGGTGTGCAAGAGGCAGCTGGTCGATGTTTCTCTCTCATCGACGTTTCTCTCTCATCGATGTTTCTAGCTCTCTATCTCTCTCCCTTCCTTTCTGTAAAAATTCAATAAAATATATTAAAAATATATATATATAAACATTTAAGATCATGAATTTTCTGCTTCATTTGTGCCTTATACATTCTTAACTATGGGATTTTTTCTATTGATTTTTAAATTGTTTTGTTTTCCTCATTGATACAAAAGAGGTCATTTAAAATTTCTGAACAGCAATCTTTTGTTTTCTGGGGATTTTTTGTTTTGTTTTGTTTTGTTTTGTTTTAGAAAATTGGGTTCTTTTTCTCTTTTTCTTTTTAAAATATATTTTATTGATTTTTTACAGAGAGGAAGAGACGGATAGAGAGTTAGAAACATCAATGAGAGAGAATCATCGATCAGCTGCCTCACACGCCCCACTTGGGATGTGCCCACAACCAAGGTACATGCCCTTGACCAGAATTGAACCTGGGACCTCTATCCACTGAGCCAAACTGGTTTTGGCTGTTTTCTGATTTTGTAATTAATATCTATTATATTGATTTCTGTTCAAAGTATGCTATTTTATATTATTTTTACTTTGGGAAAGTTTTATAGTTTCTATCTGGTTTTATATACAGTCGATTTTTTTGATATCCCATGAATTGCTTTTGTTTTTTCTTTGTCTTTTTTTGTTAATCCTCACCTGAAGATACTTTTCCATTGATTTTTAGAGAGCATGGAAGAGAGGAAGAGAGACAGAGAGAAACATTGAGGTGAGAGAAACAAATCAACTGGATTCCTCCCTACTGGGGCTGGCTGGTAGATCAAGTATTTACCCTTGACTAGAACTGAATCCGTGACTCTTTAGTTATCCAGAATACACACACCACACACCTACATGCACACATGGGCACACTCACTCATCAGTCGCTCCATGCCTCACTTACCCCATCTGAAACTGAGGCCAAACCAGCTAGGGCCCTATGAATAGCTTTTAAAAAGCCATTACTTTTGGCTGTGTCCACGGGTGTTGAAAGGAAGGAGGGTTGGGGCTGCTAGCGGTCACCTTTCCCCAGAAGAAGCCCACCTGGGAGTAAAGTCACATCCAACAGGAGCCGAAACTGGAGGTGAAGCCAAGGCACCATCTGGGACCCTGGATCCAGCCACGCCTGAAGGCGATCATGCCTTTAGACTTCCCAGTGTTTGCTCTGAGCTGAGCTTCTGTCCTGCACCTGGGGGCAGAGCCAGCCTGTGCTCATCTTCCCCGTCCCTCCGCCTCCTCCTGACAGATGTTCTGTGGTTGGTTTACAGTGAGGCCGTCCTTTGACGTGACTCCTCCCTACTTGGAATAAAATCTGCCTGTAATTGGCTGGAAAAAAAAAAGAACCATTACTTTTGTTTTCTGATTACAGAGTTCAATATATAGATTAACCAAATTTATATTATTAATTACATTTTTATTCCTTCTCCATTTTCATTTATTTAGGCAGATGTGAGTCTAAGAAACAATGTGAGATAGATAAATATGGGGCCACCCAAAGAGGGGGAACGTTCCCCCAGTGTCCTGCCGTAACCTGCCTGAACAAACATGTATAGACTAGAGCATGAAATCTGTGCAAGAGTAGGCCTTCCTTCCCCCACTGCCAGCACTGGCTTCCCTCTGGCACCTGGGACCCGGGTTTCCCTCCAGCCACTGGCAGGCACCGGGACCCAGGCTTCCCTCTTAGCTCTGGCTTCATCTGGAAGGTTGTCCAAAAGGACCAGTCTAATTAGCATATCATGCTTTTATTATATATGTGTGTGTATATATATATATATATATATATATATATATAGATATATATATATGTATTTTTTCCTTAACATTTTGGACAAGATTTAGTATATTGACTCAAGTTTAAAAACAAAGAGTGTGACAGGAAATGCTTGCAGAGGCTAGTGTACCAGCCGATGTGGGGGCTGGGACCGCGGGTGGGGAAGTGTGCATGCTGGGCCTGGACCTTCCCTGGCTGAGGTGTGCCAATGTGCACAGGTATTTAGTGACATGGTGTAGAGAGGCAAAAAGATAAAAAGTAAAAATTCCAAATGTATATGTTTCCTTATTGCCCTTTCCTTGCCCCCAAATCATCACTTCCTGTTTCTGTACCACCCTGTTATGGGGAACTCTGAGCCATGCGCGGCGCCATCTCCCCTTCTACCTCGGCCCTTGCTGTGACAGACAACTCCAGCTACAAGTGTCGTGTTCTTAGCTTCCCTGGCTCCCACTTTGCTTACCCTCATGCTCAGACAGTGCCTCCTGCTGGTAAAAGTCGGATGTGAGTCTGTGCTTCAGGGTCCTTGGTCCCTGTGAAGGCAGAGACCAGAGAGAAGGGACTGGGCCGGTGTCTCCAGGGGACCAATTTGGATGGGTTCACCAGAGACCAACTGCATGTGGCCAGCAACTTCAGTCTTTCCAAGCCCCCAAGGCAGTGTGTGTGTGTGTGTGTGTGTGTGCATGTAGGTGTGTGGGTGTGTACATATGGGTATGTGCATGTAGGTGTGTGGGTGTGTGTACATGCATGTGTGTGCGTGTGTTTGCAGTGGATATGTGCATGTATGTGTATGCATGTAGGTGTGTGGGTGTGTATGTGTGCATATGGGTATATGCATGTAGGTGTGTGTGTGTGCATGTGGGTATGTGCATGTGGGTGTGTGGGTGTTGTGCATGTGTGTGTGGGTGCATGCCTGTGGTGTGTGCACTTAAGTGTGTGCAGTGGGTATGTGCATGTAGGTGTGTGCATGTGTGCATGTTGGTGTGTGCATGTAGGTGGGAGGGTGTGGTACATGTGTGTGGGTGCATGTTTGTGGGTGTGTGCATGAAGGTGTATGTGTGGGTATGGGTGTGGGTGTGTGCGTGTAGGTGTGTGGGTGTGGTGCATGCTTGTGGGTGTGTGCATGTATGTGTGGGGGTGTGTTCATGTAGATGTGTGCATGTAGGTGTGGTGGATGCATGTGGGTGTGTGCATGTAGGTGTATGGTGTGGGTGTGTGCATGTGGGTACTTGGATGTGCTCTGCTTCATGAATGTGTGGGCTGGAGGCCTTCTGGATAACAAGGTCTGCCTGACATGAAGTAGTTAACATTCTCCCTGCTCTTAGAAATGTACATTTTCAAAACATAAAAACCATAATAAATGTTTTGAATATTTTTTAAAAGTAACCTACTGAGGAAAATGAATGGAGAAAGCGATTTGCTTCATGTTTTCCCCGATTGTTGCTGCTCCTTTCCTCTCACCCCTGGGACACTCGTGAATTAAGTTCTGTTTTTATTTCTCTCCTCTAGCCCAGACACAAACCTGTTCATTTTTCCTTCCTTCTCCGCTGGCGCCGGTGTGAGGAATCCCTTCCTGTATGATTGGTTGCAGACAGCGTTGCATGGTGTTGCTGCATACAGTGCGGGCGCTGGGACCGCCAGTAACGTCAGTGGTTGTTATGAAACAGCAGAAGCCTGTGTGGCTCCTGAGAACGGGCTAGGGAGTGTGAGACGCAGCCTGTCCTTGCTGTCAGCGCAGCAAGGAGCAGAGCATGAGTGTGGCTCTCCAGCCCGGGCACCTGACCGGTGGGAGCTGGATTCCCAGTGAAGCATGGAAAAAGGGCTGAGAGCAAGATACAGGCACGGAGGCTGAGTGAAGGGGATGTCCCAATGCATGGTAGGCAGTGATTTCACAATTATACAATGTGATCTCAGTAGGAGCCTGCAGCTGGATCCATGCTACCTGGGCATAGAGCAGCAGTGCTCCTGCCCAGAGAGCCGCTTGGAGAGAGAGGTGGTTGTCTGCTGGGGACAGGGGTGACCCAGGGCTGAGCGGGTCCTAAGAAGAAAAGGGTGCAGGGACATGCCCTGGTCCCCAGTAGACCCCTGGCCCTGCATCCCAACTGGCCCCTAGGAGAGAGAGTAGCAATGGCCCTTCCCCTTTGGCTGGCCCCGTCTAATGTCTATCTATCTATGCTTGCAGCCAGCCTTGCAGAGGAGATAACGGAGGTCTGTAAGTCGGCTGAACTAGGCAGCTGCACACTAGCTACTGGGCGGCAGGTCAGGCTCTCCAGCCAGGGCTCCTGCCCTCCGGTGGTCAGAGCCGGGCTCTTGGCTGCAGGTGAATTCTGCGAAAGCCACAGAGCAAGTGGCAGCCTCGGGCGACTCCCAGGAGGAGGGGCTCTGCCAGGATGACGGGCTCTGGGTCAGACCACCTGCCTGCTGCTCTTCTCGCCCTATGCCTAATTCTCTGTGGCCGAGCTCTCAGTGTCACTCATCAGTCGCTCTATGCCTCAGTTTCCCCATCTGAAAAAGGAACGTTAGTGATCCCAGCTGTGAGGAGTAAATTAGAGTCCCTACTCAGCACAGTACTCAGGACAGGAGCGGTCCTCCTTCACCAAGGGGACATGTGGGTGCTGGAGGCAGCGGCCTGCTCCCCTCTGCACCTCGCCACCCTGACAGTCCTTCCTGCCGCCCCAGGTGGCCCCGTGCCTGGGCTCCATCATCCAGATCAGCCAGCCTGTCACTGCCTGTGTGGGGTCAGCCTGAGGCCTGGGTCTGATCGCCCTTTAGTTTGCTAACACGTGTAGTATTTGACAAGAGTGGCTTGGCCAGATACTCAGTGTAGAGTACTTCCCACCCACTGAGGGAGGGCCTGCCTCACGGGGTCCGAGCTCCCGCTGTTCCAGGCTCCATAGGGCTGTGGGGCTGGCTTCCCAGTTTCTATTGCTGCCCAAGTGGTGTGGCTCTCTGCTGCCACCCCATGGCGGTAACGTGCATAGCTGCACAGAGAGGGCTTCCCTCCCACCTCTCCTGTCTTCTGGGCTGTGGCTGAGTCCAAATGGGGGCCAAGTCTGGACCTACAGGGAGAGAAGGGCCGGGCCTGGACCAGCACTGGGATTTGGGGCTCAGGCGGGATCACCCAGGCTCAGGGGTAAGAGCTAGTGTGCTGATCAAGACATACCAAGAGAAGGTACTTGGGGAGCTGGGTAATTCAGCCTCTAGGGCTCCCCTCTCCAAGTCCCCATATCCTAGGCTCTCCCAGTGTCGCTCTAGTGTAAAACCCCCATAGGATTTGAAAGTATGGGGGCAGATTTCTGAGGGGAGAGGGGATGCTGCCCGGCCCACAGCACTGCCTCTCCGCGGGCTCCCCAGCCCTGTTTTGCCAGGACACAGCTGGTGCCCCTGTGTCTCCATCTCAGGGAGATGGGCCTTTAAGCCTGTCTAGGAGGTGACATCCCCACCGACTGGGTCCCCTGAGGTGGCCAGAATCTTCTTCCCTGGGGTGATGGGTCTGGCCCCCAAACTGCCTAACCCAGAAACTCTGCTCACCCCAACTCCTCTTATCCAAAGCTGGGTGAAGGCGAAGGCTGGGCTTCCGGCCTCAGCAGCCTCCCGGCTCCCCTCCTCCTGCCCATACCACGCTGCTCGCTCTAGAGCTGGGCTGATGAAGGAGCCGCTGACGCCCCACCTTTTCCTCTGGCTTCACAGCCTCTCTTTGGGGCTATTTGAGGACCAGAGGCAGCCAGCGTGGCTCCTGGAACCTCTAATGGCCTCAGCCCCAGGGTGCATCTGTGCTGGGGGATCTGGCACAGACTCTCAGGGGCTCTAGGCTAAGGAGGGCATGGCTCCCGGGTGGGGTGGGGGTGGGGTTAGTTTGCAATGTCACATCGTATTTATTTAGCGGAGTAAATATTTTATACTGTATGTGAGCAATCAGAGTATAATGAAAGGCTTCTTACATATTTTTTTTTTAACTTAAAATAAATAAAAATTAGGCTTGCTTTCTAAATATTTGTGAAACCACTGTAGAGGGGGATGAAGTACAGCGGAGCAGAAGAAACTGGAAACCCTTTTATACAAGCCAACCCTTTTATAGAAGCCAGGGCGGAGGTGGGGGCAGAGGCTGGTGACTGGGAAGGGATGGGAGGAGGCAGTGTGGCCGAAGGGAATGGCCGAGAGGAGGCCACTCCGGAAGCGGCTTTCCTTGGCTGGTCTTCACCCGAGTGTCTGTGTCTGAGGCCGGGGCACGGCTGAGCCTGCGACCATCAGGAAGGATCCGGGAGCCAGACTGCTTGCTCCTTCGGCAGAGCTTCCTGCTCTCCAGGCTCCTCAGGAAGCCATGGGCCCGCCCTCCGTCAGGTGACTCTGCCCACAGCCGACCTGGACCACTTCCTGTCGGGCTAGAACCCTTGGGATGAATTCCTGCAAAGTACGACAACTTCACTCATAAATCAGATGCTGGTCTCCTTCCACCCTGGGGTGGGGGTGCCCAGATGACTGACAGGCATTTGGACATAGTAGGCAGTGTGTTGACCCACCTGATGGCTGGGGTGGAGGCGGGGAGGGGACCCCCTCAAAGTGCCTGAGGTCTCCAAGGTCAGGATTGTCTCCTGCCAGAGTTAAGAGCTGAGGTCTCTGAAGGTCCTGGCTGGGCCAGTCTCCCGAGTTCCCAGCAAAAGAAGCTGCAGGGGCGTCAGGACGTGTAAGAAGCCTTGGTCCAGTCAGGGTGGCATCTGTTCTTTGGCCTGACACCCCCCACCCCCCAGCCCCATGGCTCACTGCGGGTGGGGTGGCTCTCAGATTTGCCTCCAGGGAAACTAGTGCTAGGCAGGCTGGACCATAAAACTCAAATAATGGATATGTTTCCACGATTTTCACAGGAAAATTCAACCAGTAGCTAGAATATCCCATTAAAATGTCCTGCTATCACGTTTTCTTAAACTCTTGATGTCAACCTTGATGTATCTGCCATCAGACCCTACAGATACACAACAAACACAGACCACTGGTAGCCCCAGACCCCAGAACCAGGGAGCGGGCAGAGTTGGCAGTTGGGCAGAACCCCTGGGCCCCCATTTCCTCCCCTCGATGATTTGCTGTTTACCTTGGATGCCCCTTGCCAGGGTCCAAAGCCTACAGGTATTTTGTGCCAACCCAGTTTCTCCCTGGCTGGAGTGAAGGCAAGATGGGAGGAGAGACCACACACACTGAGCAGGCCCTGCATCTCCACTGCAGCCCCCACACTGCCACGCCGGTTTCCTGAAGTGCTTC